GTGTGAAATATCTCGACGTGGAACATAGAGTGTAAAACGTGTTTGAAACGAATTTAACCGTGTTCTGTAGAATTACTTGGCAATTTCGAAATAACTCAATCTCTCTAACCAATTGTTGAATCCAATATGTACGATATGTCGTCTCTTTTACCGCATTATCAAACTTTATACCTTTTCGAAGTTTCCGCGTGGAACGGTTTATGAATATATTCGCCGAAACGAGATTAGCTTTCGCGAATCTTGATGTTTTGATGAATCAAAATGGACATAAAATTCCTGATTTATTTTTTACTATTTTTTTAAACTTTTGACGTCGAACGTTTTATCGGGATTTCCATGGAATGAAAATTAACATTCACGAATCTGGAGATTTCCGAAATTATCTGCGTTGACTCAAAATTCCTAATTTCTTTTCTACAATTTTCACAAATTTTCGCCGATATTTCCACCGAATCGAAATTAACTTTCACGCAAAATTAACTTTCACGCATCTCAATATTTCCAAGATTAACTTTCTCGAATCTCAATATTTCCAAGATTAACTCTCACGAATCTCAATATTTGCAAAATTAATTTTCACGAATCTCAATATTTCCAAGATTAACTTTCTCGAATCTCAATATTTCCAAGATTAATTTTCACGAATCTCAATATTTCCAAGATTAACTTTCCCCAATCTCAATATTTCCAAGATTAACTTTCTCGAATCTCAATATTTCCAAGATTAATTTTCACGAATCTCAATATTTCCAAGATTAATTTTCACGAATCTCAATATTTCCAAGATTAATTTTCACGAATCTCAATATTTCCAAGATTAATTTTCACGAATCTCAATATTTCCAAGATTAACTTTCCCCAATCTCAATATTTCCAAGATTAACTTTCACTAATCTAAATATTTCCCAAATTAATTTTCCCCAATCTCAATATTTCCAAAATTAAGTCTCACGAATCTCAATATTTGCAAAATTAATTTTCACGAATCTCAATATTTCCAAGATTAACTTTCCCCAATCTCAATATTTCCAAGATTAACTTTCACTAATCTCAATATTTCCAAGATTAACTTTCCCGAATCTCAATATTTGCAAAATTAACTTTCCCGAATCTCAATATTTCCCAAATTATCTGCACTGACTCAAAATTCCTAATTTCTTTTCTACAATTTTCACAAACTTTCAATATCGAACGCTTCACCGATATTTCCACCGAATCAAAATTAACTTCCAAGAATCTTCGTATTTCAAAAATAATCCGTATCGTCTACAAAATTTCTAATTTCTGCATTCCTCACAATGCACAATCGACCCAAGACAAACCATAAAATATTCAAAAAAAGCTGCTCCGTAATTAGCAACTGGTGCTGTTACACTTCCATCGTTCATCTACAGAAAGTCCCATGTCTCGACGAAGGGACGGGAGGAAGGGGTTGAATGATCCGAGAGGAAGTTGGGAAGTGGGACAACGTCCAGAAGTCACAGAAGTCCTGTGCAAGTCATCCACAGCGAGGGAAGGGTGGGATGGATAAGGAAGGGGGGGATTCTGGCCTGCGAGAAGGTCTGTAATCTCGAAAGTTTCGATCGCGCTTGGGAAGAGGTTCTGGTTAATGAAACACGAAATAATTAGACCAGCGGCAACTTCTATCGCGCGGATCGATCGCTTGTAATTCCACGGCTACGTCCGTTCGTTTCCTCTTGGCCGCTCGGCGGCCCTTAAAGCGATTAAGATCCCCTTCCCCCCTCTCCTCTTTGAACGCATAACGATAACCGGCCACCCCGGAGATAATTAAAAAAGTAATGGGTAAGTCGAAACCCCCGGCTCTCGTTGGACGAGCCTCGGCAACCGGAAATAACGATGCCAATCGATGCGCGTTGACAAACCCCGAGATTTCCTGGCCAAGTTGCTGCACGCTCTGCTATTGATTTGTTTAGTTAATTGTGGCGGAAGGAAGAGTGGAAAAGTGTGTGTTTTAATTGAATCGTTTTTAGTTGGCCTGTTTCGGGTTCGAATTTTTTTGGACAAGTAGGTTTTATGATTGTAGGATAGATTCTGTTTTCCTTTTAATTTAGTGGCACCTGGCAGAGATATTGGTGTCATACGTCGATTTTAATCAAATTTTTGGAGGATGTCGAATATAAATTTCATTTCTCCAATAACACGAAAATTGAAATGAAAATTGGGGATAATGACGTGCCTTTGAGCGTCTCGTTTGAAGGAAATGATAGATTTATTAGGACAGT